GTACTATATTACTGCGTTTACTCCAACTTTGGTGCTCTTACACCATGCTTACATAGTCACAAAAACAGGTCTCGGAAAGACCGGGAAGGTGTAACGCCTCAGTGTTGCAAATGGCCTACGATGATGGCCCCTTAATAAGTTCAGGCCGCCGGTGGAACACGGACAGCTGGTTCATCAGGCGTAGTGTACCACCGGTGGTCACACACTTGACTTTTGTTATACTACAAAAACATACGCCCCCTCAAGAGAAAGTGCTAAATTTAACGTTCTCGCTCTGGGCAACAGTCAAATTTTCATACATGTCAGGAGTTTGGTATTGTGGAAGATATTAAAAAAAAATCAAGATTAATTCAATAATAATGTATTGCAAAACCATAATGTACATAATAAGGTGTTACAAATGTAGTGAGACCAGTATTATGGGCCCAGTCGGGCACGCAACATAGGAGCTAGTTGCGCCCTATTAAAAAAGTATTTACGTGACAAAAGAACTAGAAATGTACTTAATAGAAAAACTAGAATAAATCTAGCAAATTACTTCAGATGAATTGTATTAAAACAATCAGAACTGGCATAAAAAATTACTTAAGATTGTAGGTTGATTAGAAAGAGATAATGCATAATTTCGCCGTGTCCACCGGTAGCGCACTCCGCCCCGACACATTTTTTGGTCGATGGGGCGATGATGTACCACCGTTGTCCACGTGAGAATCTTTCCGATCGGACAACAAATAATGGTAATTTTATTCCCGGTCTAAACGAGTTAAGTGATTCGTCTGCTCGTTTACCCCCTTATTTAAATTCAAATATTTATTCACCAAAACAACACAAATACATTGTCTATGGATAAATCAAAGGACTTGAACTTGAATTTCACAAATTTTACAGGGTATTTGTAAAATAATAATAACATCCCAGAGCTGTGTTACCAACGCCATAAACAACCACTTTTTTTCCATGCCTTTTTACAAAACATAATAAATTGGCCAAAACTAAACTTTTAAGTTTTTGTCGTACTATCTGACACTTTTTAGACCTGTTTTTGGTAGTAAAATAGTTATAATTGAAATGTGTAAACGTCCTCCCCAACGACGCCTACCTTGGACTGGATTGATTATATAGGCCAGCGCTTTCCTCTGTTACCGCACAGATTTATTTATTCAGAGTTATTTACGACTTGCGCGAGATCTTTATGCGAGAATAGCAATATCTCGCGCTTCGTGTCACTCTCACGCTAGTTGCGCCCTATCGTGCTAGCCCTACTGACTAATTATTAGAAATCATGGAACAGAAGTTGTTGTTTTCTGTTGTTTGTTTTTGTTGAGTCCTGCCAGGTTTTTAGTATTTTATAAATAACCCTATATAAACAAAAAACACATACTTAAATTAATCAGGTCCATATAATAATATAAACTGCTTAGCTTCATCATTTCATTAAGAAAATAAACATTCATTAAATATTATAATCCACAAATTCGCTTTTTTGTACCCTTACCCTTCAAAACCGGAACACAATAATGCTGACATTACTGCTTGGCAGCAGAAATAGGTACGGTGGCAGTACTTTTCTGAACTCGCTCTTATTCTATAAAAGGTGTGATTTTCAAAATAACTCTTAATTTTTACTTGAATACAGTAATTGCCACATCTGAAACTGATAATTTATTTATTATTGTATCTATTCTTTTAAAGTTATTATATTAGATTTAAAAAAACACACGTCTGTCGGCCTAGTAACAAGTTGCTTTGATTACACCCCTGTGTAATGTTAAACAACATCAAAAATAGAGCCCAAGGACTAGCAATATCAATAATGGCCCAAAATAAGGCGTAGGTTATACTACTTCCAGGGTGTAATTCTAACCGTAGTACAATATTGTTTGACTTCCTTTTTTTTATAACATCAAGTGACGGGACGAACAAGTCGTGATATAGACTGATGATAAAGTACACGCCTATCGGTAACAGTTGCAGTGCCACTCAGAGCTTGAAATCGCAAAGATCTGAGGGGCATTGCCACTGTGGCCGTCACCCTGAGACACAAGTTGACATGTCCCATGTGCCTGTAATTTCACCAACACCCTTACCCTTCAAAACCGGAACACAGTAATGCTGACATTAACGCTTGGTGGCAGAATTAGCTAAGGTGGCAGCACTTCCCTGGACGAACTCTTTCACAAGGAGCTCTACTACTACTACTAAACTACTACGTACTACTGGTCTAGTGGCTTGCACACCCGTTTTCATGGCGTCGCCATCTCTGTGGTACAAGGGTTCGATCCCCGGGCGGGTTCATGTAGAAAATTAACTTTTCTTCATTGTCTCGGGTCTAGGTGCTTGTGATACCGTCTTTGCTTCCGATTTCCATAACACAAGTGCCTTTATTACTTAATTTGGGATCAGAGCATCGTAACTAATGCAGTTAGATATTTTTATATTAAATTTTATTTTATTTATTAGATTGATGCAGTGACACAGAAGCAAGAAACAAACATCTCTGTGGCAAATCGTACAAAGAGATTGGCCACTGCAATGAGGAATTACGGATTGAAGGTCAACGATAATATTATCGTCATGGGTAATAACCACTTGGATTTGTGTATACCGTACTTCGCCTGCCACTTTAATGGTTATGCTTTGTGCGCTGTGGACCCCATTATGACTGCTGGTAAGTGTACTGATCAAGGTATCCGTAATCTTCTTGCATTTTTTTTCTACTTACTTAAATGTACAAACTAGATATGAGCCAAACAAACAGGTAGCGCGTCTTCAAAAGTAAAAAATCAAAAATTTATTTGTTAGAATAGATTTAACAAGATCCTATTATATATTATTATTCATGTTATTATCATATGTAATAATTATTAACATACAGTAACCATGTATGAGTAATCATACTGGTGTGCAAATTTTCGTTACGTTATAATGACTTAAATTGTAAGTATTATCTAACTGTATAGAAACAGTGGTTCATTAGCCAAACCGACAGAACAGTATTTAAAATCATGTCCCCTTAATTGTTTTATGTGGTCTGGCAGATCATTGTACACTTTAATGGACATATTAAATGAGTTTTTCTTATAAATATCTTTGAAGCAAGGAGGTTGACATAATAGATATCGTGAAAGAGATCGTCCAGTGAAGTACTGCCACCTTAGGGTGCCTACAGATCTGGCGAATGCATTGCAAATTTGTCTGTTTGCGAAAGGTCTGCGCTGCACACGTGGATTACGTTGTGCGATCTGTCTGTAAAATAGATATCCAAAACAGTAATAATAGAAAAAAAAGTCAAAGAAAAAACAAAAGAAAAGATCTCAGGGGCCCGTCACTCTGAGACATAATTTGACAACTCCCATGTGCCTGTAATTTCACCAGCACCCTTACCCTTCAAAACCGAAACGCAGTAATGCTCACATGACTGCTTGGCGGCAGAAATAGTTAAGGTGGCAGTTCTTCCCTGGACGAACTCTTTCACAAGGAGCTCTGCTGCTACTAAATAAATATTCTCTTTGATTACAAGCGATTCGCACGGTTGGTACGGGTTATTTTTAAAATACTAGCAACTTTACAGAACTATATTATTAACATCATAAACAACAACTATTGTCCCAAGACTTTTTATAAAACATAATTTTAATCTATTTATATTTGTATGAACGTAAAATTTAAAAAACTGTATAAGATGTTAGATAATATAGTCCTGGGAGGTTGTCAGTATTTTTATCTACACACATATCATAAACCCTCTATGATGTGTTCAAAAACCGCAAATTAGGACCAGCTTAAACTGTTTTGTTAGAACAAATTTCTTATCTGTTAAAATGTTATTGTTACTTATTATTAACATCAAATTCGATTTTGTCATTACATTCAAATTACGCATATCTCTGAAAAACAAAACAATTCGATTCGACCTCAATTTTTTTTAATATTAATTTCACGGCATCGGAATAAATCCATCAAGCCAAATCTTCCTAATATCAGTCGACGTGAAGTTTTATTCGAAATGAAATGTCAATAGCAAACAATTTTTATTTGGCATCATTTCGCCAGTCGTAACATGCGGTTCCTGAACACATCATAGATAGCTTACAATATGTGTATAGATCAGTGTGCACATAATTAGACATTAAAACACTCGTGTGATGTTTTTATAAAACTCGCCTGTCGGCTCGTTTCATAAACCCACACTCGAGTTTTCATGCCTTTCACAATGTAACAGTCACATAAACTACAATAAAATTATTATTATTTTTATTTATATTTTTATATTATTATATATATATGTATTTCGTATACAATTTATATAATATAATAAGGTCAAAATGACTACTTTTCAGGAGAGATTAAAGATTCTATGAACAAAATTATTCGACATTTTTTTATGCATAAATAGAAGAGTTATAATATTTCACCTATACTATGATTTTCATTTAATAGTCGATACTATCTCAGCTTGAATTAAAGTTTTTCTCGTACTGAATCCGTTCTATTGCGCGGGTCGAGCGGCTAGGACACTGGCTTTATTTCAGAGTTTATTTTTTTACAAACGAAATCAAAGTTATTTGAAAAATGTATATCATATACTATACGTGTTCTATTCAGATCAGTTGATACAAAAAGAAATCTTTGGGATATGTAAAGTATCTATTGAATACAGCGATACAGCGGTTTTCTTGTAAAATTTCGTGGTAAATTTGTGTTTTTTTTTGTGTCATGAAAATTTTTAGGTATCTTATTTTCACACCGTATATATATACTATATATTTTTTCTAAAGTGATTGATTCACTACTTTCAAGGAATGCGGAATCAACCAAAGCCATTTGAGTCTAACGGCTCGTAATGAAAGAAAGCACTCTAATTATAATAAGTGCACAAATTTTACGTATATAGTAAATCTGATCTTTTGAAGTTTTACACTGATATATTTATCAAGAATATTGTTTGTAGTTAACTGAGGGTACGAAATAAGGTATGTCAATTAAATATTTAGTAACAGTAGAGCTCCTTGTGAAAGAGTTCCTCCAGGGAAGTACTGCCACCTTATCTATTTCTGCCGCCAAGCCGTAATGTCAGCATTACTGTGTTCCGGTTTTGAAGGGCAAGGGTGCTGGTGAAATTACAGGTACATGGGACTTGTCAAGTTACGTCTCAGGGTGACGGGCGCAGTGGCAGTGCGCCTCAGATCATTGCAATTTAAAGGGCTGAGTGGCACTGCAACTGTTATGGACAGGCGTGTAGCTTACAATCAGGCGTACGTCTTGTTCGTCCCGTCACTTGATATTGTAAAAAAATATGCATAAATTAATAGTCATCTTTAGCATTTCACAATACGATGGACATTAAAAAAACTTAACGTGTATTTTCCAGAGGATCTTCAAACCCTCTTCCACTATGTATCTCCAGAAATGGTATTCTGTTCTAAGGATAAAGTAGAAGATACGAAAAATGCGTTGTCAAAGAACAATTTAGAAACACCCATTGTAGTATTCGATGACAAAGAAAACGACTTAGAAGCATTTGTTAAAAAACACAACGGCACTGAAGAACAATTTTGGTAAGAGTTAATCAGTAAACAACTATTTGCTTATTTATTTATTTTATTTTATAGATAAGGTACATCAACAGTAGTATTACAAACGAATACTTTTATTCATTGGAAAAGGTAAGGTCACTGCGCTCTTCCCACTGAATAATATGGTAATATGCTGCTACATGGTCACGGTTGACAGTCAACCGTGACCATGGGACCTGTAAAGGGCCCGAAACGTCGGTTTGTTTGAAAAAACAAATATACGCGATTTAAATCCGGAAAAATAGTTTCATTCCTAAGTAGCAGTAGAGTTAGTAAAAACTTACAGGTATCTTCTTCCTTATTTCAGCCTTCCTGACTTTGACCATTCTAAAACTATAGCGTGGCTTATGTTGACAAGTGGAACTACAGGTCTTCCAAAAGTGGCCGTGATACCCTTTGACACATTACTCAGCGGCTTGTGCTGTTGGTGGTATGTTCGATTGCTATAAATAATATATTTTATTTTATTTATTCATTTAAATTGGATCACTATGACCCGTACTATATACGTAATATAATACGTACCTGAAGAATGGAAGTATATGATATGATTTTTTTTTTTTAATTAACAACAACAAATTTACACGAAGAAATCTATTTATTTATTATTTTTTTTATTTTGCTGGTCACGTGTGGCTCAATATGGTATCTGGTAACCGACCTCGGAATCGCTGGTATAGAAAACCTGTCGGTTAAAACTCCTGCAAAAAGGTGGACAGATTATCTGTCGGCATTCACAAACATACATTTGAGTTAGTATATTAAACTATATCAAATAGAGACGAATTTTTTTTCACAGTTTTACCAGGAACTTGTGAAAACTTGAATTGTATTGTTGGAACTTTATTTGTACATATAACTATCACATATTATTTGTTGTAATTCCTTCGCCCTTCACGGTATATTTGTCTTTGATATGCGCTCTCGTTCCAAGTTCAGACCAGACAAAATTTTGTGCATGTATCTTTTTGTTGATCAAGACGCGGCATAATGTTGTTGTGGGTACAGGGTGGAAATTTGTAATGCCACTTGGAAGGGAAGTACGTTAAATACTGGAGATAGAAATTTTTACTTAAAGGAAACATTCCTTTTTTTTTAAAAAGAAACAATACTGTATTCAAAGATTTTCGAAAATTGCTAGCCACACGCGGTAATCGAACCCGCTAAAATCTTTAAAAAAATGCACCCTATACTTTTATTAAATCAATCGATAGGGTCAATTATGAGGATGAAATCTCTCTTACAAACCATGAAATCTGGAGTTATGAATTCAATGGGTCAAATTAAAGCACTTTTACTCAAAGGTCCATCAGATTACTTGTTAACTACGTTGACGTAATTTATCCATTAAAGCATTGACTTACAAATAATTGTAATTGTAAGTCAATGCATTAAAGTGACGAAGTACTATTTAGATAAGAAGATTGCAATTTGCACATGTTTGTAATGCAGACTCTTTGGTCAGTGGCATGAGGTAATTTAAATATGGAATGTTTCATTTGAAAATGGATTGTCTTTTGTTATTTCCATTGGATTGTTTTTACATATCCTTTCGAAGTACTGATAGTTTTCCTATAAATAAATAAATTTCATATTTGTCTCATCGTAAAAAGTTCATTAAGAACAATTTGATTTCATGGAAGTGTATTTTTTAAATAACAAAAATGTGAATTTAACTCTGCGGTGGTATGAAGAGAGATATCGGGATCGACAAGCACCAACTCGATTCGTTCTGAAAAAAATGGTAAATAAATAAAAAAATACGGGTAGCTACGAAAAGCGGCGGCAAACTCCTCAACAGAACTATTCCGAATTCGATCTTAATGTTTTAACTTACTTCGAAGCATTTCCAAAGGCTTCATGAAGAGATGCTGCACAAGATATTGGAACGAACCACACTCGCGTACTCTAAGTGCTTAAAAAGTATAAGTACCTATAAATGTAATCGTGACGGCCGGTTGGTGCAAAAATTGCATCCTGGGGATTGTGAGAGACGACTTCAATTTTGTCAAAACATGATAAGAGAAGTGGGCCGTAACCCAAATTTTTTGAGTAACATTGTATGGTCTGACGAAACCAACTTCAGTAATAACGGCGTGTACAACCGCCGCAATAACCATTATTGGTCTCGAGTGAATCCTGTTCGTGTTCATGAAACTAACAATCAAGTAAAATTCTCTTTCAACGTTTGGCGCCGAATTATGAGAAATATGGTTGTGTTAGTCCACGTGTACGAAGGTCATTTGAACACTGTCAAGTATCTTGAAATACTGGATCTCTTAAGAAATGAGTTAAATGTTTTATCCGAGGAAGAGCGAAATCGAATAATTCTGCAGCAAGATGGCGCTCCAGCCCATAACAGCAGAGTCACTACTGGCTACATTAGTAACCATTTTAATACCTGGATTGGTACAAACGGCACAATCAAATGGTCTGCGAGATCACCAGATCTCACCCCTTTAGATTTTTTTTGTGGGGATATGTTAAAAATCAAATTTACCTTAAATCCTATGCGAGTGTAAACGAGTTGAAGGCTGAGGTTCAGAATACGATTTGTAATACAATTCAACACAACACGTTATTAAAAGTTACTCAAAATGAATTCGTTAAAAGATTAAATTTGTGTATCCAAGAAAATGGAGCTCATTTCGAGCAGCTAATTAGTTAGATTACCATTTTTTTCGTTTTATTAAAATACGTTAAGATTTCATGGTTGTTTTTGTCATTTAATTAACCAATTTCGTGACAGAGATTTTATTTTTATAATTAGCCCTATCGATCGATGCAATAAACGTGCAGGGTACATTTTTTTCAGATTAAAGCGGGTTCGATTCCCGCGTGTTGCTAGAAATTTTCGAAAATCTATGAATGCAGTTTTATTTCTTTTAAAAAATAAAGGAATGTTTCCTTTAAGTGAAAATTTCTATCTCGGGTATTTAGAGTAGGTACTTTCCTTCCGGGTGGCATTACAAATTTCCAATTAAAAATTATATATATAATTTATATATGTTTATTATATATGTATATTGAGTATGTTTATGCTATATGTAATTGAGGAGAAAGTAGAAGACAAAATAAAGAGCTGGCTAGTGTGGTTAGTGGCTAGTGGAAGAAGTTACACCATCAAGAGGTTGGCTTTTATATAGGTGATGCTTTATTTTATAAATCTTCGCCTGTTGTAGCTAGCTAGTTGTTCGCTTGCTGCACCAAGCTAACATGCGGAGTATACACCAAATAATAACCAACCTTAAGTAATAACTAGTAATAATTTTAAACTTTAATGGCTGTCCTTGTAATTTATTTATATGTTTTTTTATTGTTATTGCTGTAGCACATGTATCACATATGAAATTTTTATTTTTTTGGTATTACCTAATCTATTGGTTTTTTTTATGTTTGGTCCGATGGTTGACATTTTTAAATAAAAAATTAAATGCGAAATAAACCGAGCTCCTATTTTTCAGGGTACAGTTCACGGATGATATGGATTATGCGTTGGCTATGGCGACCATTCAATGGATGTCATCCCTGATAATCTTTTCTAGTACGTGTTTGATGAACTTCACACGTGTTCAACTATCAGTACCTATCACACCTCAGCTTCTTATCCACGTCATTAACAAATACAAGGTATATATATATGTTTCTGATAAAATACGACTCAAAATTTAATAATGATTAAATATGAAAAGATTAGAGGATCAAAACATCCTAATTGATAATTCATAATGACGTTAATAATGAATGAGATATGAATTATAGTTTTACTTAAATTACTTCACCCATAAGGTGTAAAATATGGCATGTTACTGTTTGAAAATTTATTCATAACCCGATTGTTTTAAAAATACTACTCTTCTATTGTGTATAATTTAAATCATTTTAAAAAAGAGATACCCGTACAAAATTATTCAGAAGGTTGTTTAGGTACGAATTAAATGTCAATAGTTTTCTGCATACCATAAAATATATACTTAAGAAACATCACGATCTATGGCAGAATCTCAACGAAGTACCGATTTGATATCTTTGTATTATTATTAATTTGTATATCCTATCTTTTTATTGTATTGCATATAAAATAAATTAATTATTTAATATCACGATGTTTTTACTATCATAATATAAATTTATTAGTTTGTGAAAATTTACTGTTTTGTTATTATTATTTATACAAAGATTGAACAACGCAAAGACAAAATCTTCCGAAAAATTTTTGAATTTTCTTTTTGTTGTTCGAACTTTATAACAATAATAATGTAATTTGGAGTCTTATCTATAATATACAATACGAACTATTTATATTGAACAAACGACCTGAGAATACACGACATTTGAATTTCCATCTAAAAATACAGTGACTATATATATTTATATAGTCAGTGTATTTTATACAGTTACACTATATATATTTTTAAAATATTTTAGCCCAAGGCTTGCGCATGGACGCCATATCTTTTGGGCCAGTTCCTGCGTGCCGCCGGGGACTTGTGTGACTTAAGCAGCTTTAAGTACATCGCTATCGGTGGCAGCTCCATTGAAAAGCCTTTGTTTGATCAATTCAGTGTAAGTTTAAGCATTGTTTACTCTTCTTAAAAAAACAAATTATAGATATGTGTGAATCGAGTTTTTAGTTTTTCGCATTTGCATCCCATTGTAAATGAAACTATATTTTTCCCGCACAAAGTCGCGTTATAGTATAATATGACCAGCATGGTAACCCACACAATGCTAGCAGCGCGCCTTGTATGTGTGCACACATTCGCATAATAAACTAAAAGGTTTGTGGGCACCGTCCTCTGTCGCACAAATGGAACTCACTTCCAGTGCACGTATTTCCTCCGTCTTATGGCATGGGGGTCTAAAAACGAGGCGTGAAGAGGCATCTTGTAGGCATTCAGGGTGGAGGTGGCTAGGGCAGTGATTGTATCAACCTTATTCCTTCACGTTTGGATTCCATTTTCTATTTTACATCAGGTGGAATAAAGTCATCTGCCTATTACGTACAAAAAAAATCAGAGGCGCATGTGACGACCAGCGCAATGCAACGCAAATGCATTGCGAGATTATGCGAAATGCGTACACATACAAACTGCGCTGCTACGTTTCTACGAAGTTACCATACTTGTTTTATTATACTATGGTCGCGCATATTTAGTTTTTTAAACATTCAAAGTTCCAACGTTTCGGGTTCTTTAAAGGTTCTATTGTCAGCCGTGGCTTTTTGGACATGTAAAACTGATTAACCTGGTTGTAACGATTTTAGATTCTACCTTTACCTGTAATGGTATTTATTATTGGTTTATTATTGGTTATATTATAACTCATAATTTCCCCCCAGTCATAAATCATCCATCAATGTATCTAGTATGCGGATTACGTTATTGGTGTGTACCGAAACGCAACATAAAAAATGTTAACTGAAACCTGTTCACTCCGATTTTTACTTAAACAAGTTTTTCACAAAAAGTCTTAATCTTTATCCTGAACAGCGTTGATATACATTGGAGCAAAAATATCGTACCCATGGTATTATAAAGTAATATGAAATCATAACTCTAATTTTATTTCTTACATGGACAACTAGAAAGTTTCAGCTTTTCCATACAACAAATAAAATTAAACCTATGATAATAATCATTGGTTTCATTTTAATTACTTTGAATCGCTATTACAACAAGGATGTGACGTAACGGAAAGTTTGAAGAAAAATAGCAGAAAATTTAGGAATTATAACAAAATGTATTTCTTTTACAGGCAAAATGCGGTGCCTATTTATACTTGGTGTATGGAATGACTGAACTACTTGTGCCTGTATTTGAATACAACAGAACCACGCCTTTCGGTTCCACTGGCAAGCCGATGGACAAATTCCAGTATAGAGTAAGTATGCAGTATATAGTATATATATAGTATAGTAACCATCGAGAATTATTTTACATCGTCTAATATGTAAACTTATGTGCATTCATATGTATGACTTAGTGTCACTTAGCGCACAAAAAAAGACACATAGTGCAACTTGTTCGGCGAGTCAATTTTTATACTTCTCTCGCAGCACAGAGTTGTCACATTATTATTTTATACCATGGAACTACTATATCTAACGACCTCGGTTGCTCATCGGTTTGCACTGTGGGCATTTCCCGGTAGGACCAATTTGGGAAGTGGACGTTTCTAAATTGGTACTGGCCTGGGTGTTCTGTGTGAATTCTCTTGCAGGAAGTCCCGATCTAAGATGTTTAGATGAATGTATTCAAATGTGTCTTTACAAAGAGCTACCCCTAGAGTTTCTTGCTCATTCTTTTCAGGGGAATCTGCCTTACAAATGAGCAGTAGAGTAATCATTTTTTTCGTTACGTCACATCCTTGTTGTAATAGCGATTCAAAGTAATTAAAAAAATAATAATCATAGCAGTAATCAGTATGACGACTTCAAGTGTAATTTGCTTACCAATGAAATAGAGATTATTTGACTTGAATTCCATTGTTCCGGTATTACGATACGGTCGGGTAATTTGGCTATATTTGATTATTTACCTTTATATTAATGTGATTCTCAGAACGTTTATATTACTTTGAGCATATTATAATTTATTTAGCTAGATACGGGGAAACTATATGTAAAAGTATAATATAAATATAAATGTGTTTACTTTATATACAAATTACATTTATAATCGTCGAATTGAATAAAAAGAAATTAATACTGCTTATTTGTAAATAAACATTTATCATTTGCAATAAATTCCCCTGGATTTTTGTCCTCCAAATAAGCAAAAACTGTGTGCCTTTGCAGAAAGATTTTCTTTGACACTAGTTTTAAAATTTGTAAATTACAAATGGTTAATACCAATCGGAATTTTAATGAACTTTTTGAATAAATAATTTGTGACTTGTTGAGATGACTACCAGGAACATCCATTTTATTTTTCTTTCCTTGTATTAATAATTAGGTCCATCCCTTATTATTTATGAATAGATTGCTATGTTCTTTAATAAATTTTTTTGTGATGTCTCTATAGAAACTCTAAACCGTAAAGGTCTGACATGACGTTGATAAGTTCCATGTGCCTGTAATTTCACTAGCACCATTACATTTGTGGACGCACACATTAAAGCTTAGCAGCAGAGATCGGTATAATGACATTACTTCATTTTAGTAGCAATAGAGCTCGTTGTGAAAGAGCTGATCTAGGGAAGTTCTGCCACCTTACCTATTTCTGCCGCCAAACAATAATGGCAGCATTACTGTGTTCCGATTTTGAAGGGATGGTGAAATTACAGGCACATGGGACTTGTCAACTTATGTCTCAGGGTGACGGGTGCAATGGCAGTGCCCCTAAAATCTTTGGGATTTAAAGCCCTGAGTGATACTGCTGCTGTTGTTCGTCCCGTCACTTGGTGTTATTAAAAAAACTTCCCGGGACGAATACTCTCACAGGGAGCTCTACTGCTACAAAAAAATTCTTAAATGTACTATCACGCCGGTGGTTGCCTACGGCTCCGCCCCCAAAGAGATTTGGTGGTAGACTTTAGAGTCGACGGCTTATCGGTGGCAACCGTTAATTGTGCAGTATGCAACGGGAAGTGAACGTGCCTACCGCTCCAGTACCTCTATCTGGAAAATATGGAAGGTGCTGTACGTGCACCCTGGGCAGCTCACTCAAGGCACTAACTAGCCTTTTAAGAACCGGTTGAAGTCAGTGCAAACTGGCTGATCTGGGGTCAGGACCTGACTGTGAAGACCCCTGCTTGCGGTCTTGCTTGCACAGGTTATAGTTCCCTTCCCGTATAACCAAGAGGTTAATAGTTAGAGTCACTATAAACAAAATTTATGTAGAAAGATATGGGACTAAAAATAAATAAAATAGGTACTTACGTATTTCTAACTTTTATCTTGGAGTCATATTGGGACCAAGGTTATTGCCATGACAGAACGTTTCTGCAGAACACAGGTTTTAATTATATGGGCGACGTTTCTTCAAAGGAAAATGCCTTATGTCATCAAACTAAAATGCTATGTAAATTTTCGAGGCTTATCTTGTAATTAAACTGTATTTTATTTTTGTGTTTGTAAAAAGAAAATAATAAATTGGAATTCTTCAAGCCATTATATATACGTTATATACAACTGCATCTTATTTACTAGAGACGGTAGAATACATAAAACGTAATCTCTGTAAACTTCGCTCATGTATAACTTCTTAAATTATATCGCGAAATTTAATTATTTAAGTATGTACAGTCAACAACTTAACACTTTGAACTTTGGGCCGTCTTGTCGTAAGTGGCATAAAGTTGTATTTTAAACTTAAGTATAATTTGTCGTACAGCAGTCCATTATATGCTAGAATTATGATACCGCTTACAATCATACATATCTACATTATGTTCATTCTTGTACCTTACGAAACAGCCAGAATTTAAATACTAGGGCTAAGTTGGATCCCGTTGCAAGGTGCTCAATATGTTGACCCTATGTATAAAATGACAAACCTACCTAATATAGCGGAGTAAAATAAGCTGTAGTTCAGCAATCAATATAATTTTCCTATTTTAACCTTGCTGTCGCTTAGGCAAAATAGCAAAGTCCTTTTGGTTGCTACAGAGTGTATAGTTTTCCCACGGAAGTAAAAAAATATTAGGTCTGTGACCTTTCCATTCCACGTAGTAGCTCCGTAGCAAGTAACTGCCAGCCTGCTGCCTGCCGGAAGTTTGGCAATTAAAGTTTATAGTAAATAAAACAATCGACTGAAAAATAAACAATGTGACAATAAATAAAGTCCTAAAGCAATTTCTGCTAATAAAATGTTTTATTTTGTGATTAGAAGAATATTTTAATGATTAGTTCTTGTAAAATTAATAGATTAATAATAGTCAGATTAAACCTACTATTCGTCTCTGTCTTCAGACACAGCAACGCTTTTCAGAATTCATAACGTTGGTGTACCTACATAGAATGATTAAAGATACCTACATGTGAATTACAACAAATAAATAAAGCGCCTACTCGGTCCATGCATTATTTTTTAAAACTATTAAAGATTCTCTGAGATCTGTGTCAGTTGTGATACCTGTAAAGGTATCGGCTACGGGGAGAAGATTATTCAAAAATCTCTCACTAGATGTCGCTAGCGGTGACGAATACCAAAAGTTAGTACAAAGACACATTAGTAACAATATAGCTCCTTGTGAAAAGTTCGTCCAGGGTGAAAGGGTGGTAAGTACTGCCACCTTACCTATTTCTGCCGCCAAGCAGTAATGTCAACATTACTGTGTTCCGGTTTTGAAGGGTAAGGGTGCTGGTGAAATTCCAGGCACATGGGAGTTTTCAACTTAGGTCTCAGGGTGATGGGCGCAGTGGTAGTGCCCATCTGATCTTTGCAATTTAAATATCAGAGTGGCGCTGTAACAGACGTGTAGCTTATCGTCAAGCACACGACTTGTTCGTCCCGTCACTTGATGTGATAAAAAGAAACATAGGAGAATTTCGACTCGGTAACTGGACCCGTGGCTCAGATGGTTAAAGCAATACTTCGGTGGTGCAGCATGGATGCGGGTTCAAGTTCCACCTTTGTGTTCATAATCATAACAAAATTAGTGAAGCTATTTTCCAAAAAATCTCAATAAATACGTTGTATCATAAACTTACCTTTTAACTTTCTTTTTTTTTTCTTTTGTCTAGTAATATAAGTAATATGTTTCAAATCATTATACTCTTTTTATATATTCAAGTTGATAATTTTCAACTTCCCACACAAATCTTCATCAACGAATTGTGTTATATTGAAGTAAAAAAGTTCTCATTTCTATCAATACTTTTGTAATACGACTCTAGAAGACTAGAATCTCCTAGAATCGTATCGTAACAAAAGTGTTTTTTTTTTCATCTTCTAACATTTTTTGACAGAAATGAGAAGTGAAGCGGTTACAGGTTAAAAATCCTTAGTGTCATTGTGTCGTTTCCACAACACTAACTTTACTGACTATTTACAATAACTTACGCTCAAGGAACATAGCACATAAAAAAACTAAAATGGCCGTCTGTTCAAAAGTTTTTAATGGAAAATATTTTTTCTTATTTTAGCTCGTCGCAGAAGACGGCAGTACTGTAACGAAACCTAATGAGGATGGAGAGCTTTGGCTTAAAGGAGACGCATTCTTTAAAGTAAGATTACATTTTTTTAGGATTTATAGACAGCTAAACAAAAGTCAAAGCTACGGCACAGGTTTATTTGCACTACCCAATGAGCACTTATAGTTACAGTCAATTGCGCTACAAGAAAATTACTGCTTGCGGCAAATCCATTGTTAGCTTTTAACGGTATTCAGATCGGTGAACAGTCAGGTGATTCACCAGATGTAAAGTGTGTCTTTGACATGGCAATTACACAGCTGGTTGCGGGACATATAATTTTAAGTCTTTTATGCCTGTAAACAATCTAGAACATAGCAGTGCTACTTTGCGGTAATAATACATAGGACGTTAGTGTGTGAGTGATGCCCGGACGATTTATGACCAGAGAAATCTACAATCAGAAGATATAAGGAAAACAGTACGAAAAGTGCATTTGATAATATTTTTGAGATTACACTCTGTAAACATACTTCATAAACTTATTATAAAGTTATAGATGAGTCTGTTTGGATTTGAATTAAAACATAATGCGATTTGATGTAGTGAAAGATCAAAATTATCTTATTTCATTCAAGGGATATTTCAATAACCCCGAGGAAACCCGAAAAATCATAAATGACGATGGATGGATCATGACTGGCGACATATTCTACAAAACCGAAGACAACTATTACCACTTTGTGGAAAGAAAACGACTTCTAATTAAATACTGTGGATTTTGGGTAAGCATATTCAATCTATCGTTTAACAAAAAAAAAAAAACAAACGGATTGTTTCTTATCTCCTAGTTTTTTTTGTAATTTTTATTTTTATTTACATGCGCACGCAGCTACATAAATACACATATACACCTACACGTATACATACATACACGAATGTTTTATACACTTTTTCTGTGTTGCTTCTTTATAAAATAGTTTATAATATTTATAATTAACATCTCTTTTTTTAATAATAATAATAATAATAACACACACACTCAACATAGACCCGCACTAGGGAAACCCTGTGTCGCGGGTGCCATGGACACACACATAGACAACCATAAATTACACCCAAACTCACGAGAGAAATAAATGTAAGCCATACAAACATTTCTCCCGGCCCGGGAATCGAACCTGGGCCTCTGCGTGGCAGTCCGGCATGGTAACCGTTCGGCCACAGAGGCAGTTAAATCTCTGTCAAATTTGTAAACTTAATAGCAATACGTTCAAGTTATGGAGCCTGGAAGCCTAAGATATATAGCTCTTGATCTAATTTAGTTCCAGTCTCCTACAGATTTTACCCGTTGTTAAATAAAACTGTTTTTGTAACAAATTAATTAGTGACCAAAAATAGAGAGAAATAAATTTATTATTACTATTTGTTACGATAATTTGATTATTCTTGTGTTATTGAAGTCCAATAAATATTTTTTAACAATAGTAAAGAGAACATTGAAGGAAAGAGGACATTAGCCTATTTTTAGTTAATGTTTAAATATCAACGTAATATCCAAAGGTAATAATAACAATAATAAATAACCTATTCTCCGTCTGTACAATCTGGAGTAATCATTTTATGAAAACGAAATCAGAACTAGCATTGTTCTTTTTGTAGAGAATGTGGTAGAATAATCAATGTAGACGCTCCCTTTGGGCAATTTATTGCAGCGCGTCTTTACCACAGTCATAAAAACGGAAATAAAAATGATTTCGGAGGAGTGTAAGCCCTTTCTACCTATGATATTAGTACAAAGGTATGTCGTGTTATGGTATTTCAGCTTGAAAGTATTATGAAACTGCTACATTTCACCCGTAGATTAGCAATGAATATTACCCGAAATTCGGCGTACACATCGTCCGTCAAACAAAGTCCGTCTCTTATGAACCAGTGTGTTCAATAGCCAGTTTTACATTTTTTTAATGGAAGAAAATAGAAAACTGCCAGGAAGAAAGAGAGGTATTAAAAATGTACGTATGTACTAGGTATATTTGTATTTGTAATGGTACTAGGGAAAAGTTGTTTTGCCGTAGTACAATGAATGGAACAACGGCAAAAAAATCTGCGGTATCATTAATGGGACAATGGCAAAAAAAAATACCTTAGCACCATTAATGGAACTGTCTGATGGTACTACGGTAAAGAAAAGTTATTTTTGTCTTTTTAATTCCCGCCGCAAAAAGAAAATAGGAGATATAAATTTGAAGCTTTTTTCTGTGTAACTGTCTGTCTGTTAGAGGCATCACAGCTTCCAAATAAATGAACTAATCTCAAAGCAATTATTTTAATTTGAAGGCTAATACTAAGAATAAGAATATTAAGAAGGCTAATTTAATCATAATCATCAACCCATTTATACGTCCGACTGCTGAGTACGGGTCTCCTTTCAGGCTCTGCCCGAATTCGAAACCACCTGTGTGTGAGAGGCGGTAGCTCAAACTATTGGGCTACCACGTTTTTTTAATCGGCTTTTTATTTTTTCGCTAATTTAATCGGGATTCTTTTCAGCTACTTAAAGATCACCTTTATCTCTAGTTAATATGGGGATGATGTACCAAATTAATAAACTTCACCTATTGCAAAATATCTCAAACGATATGAAAATATCCGTGGCTTAGTTGGTATAGCGTCTGGCACGGTAAGCTAGAAGACGTCGGTTCGAATCCGGCCGAATCGAAGGAATTTTTTCTGAGTGTTCGATGTTTGTATTAATAAAGATATGAAAATACTTTTAAGCCTGACTTGATTTCAACGTAGAAGAAATTTCTTTTTCGATAACAAAAATTATGCAAGAAATGAAATCTTTGGGGTATACCTTTAGTTGTTATACATGTTTATATACTTAAAATATAGATGAGATGGTATACGTCCTCCAAAATCACACTTCTTTGGGTTTTTGTAAATAAGAAAACAAACGCAGCAGCAATTTAGACAGCGTGGACGTTAATTGTTCTACTACATCCTGTACAAAATGGACGTTTTTGTAATATTGTACTTCTGATGTTGTTTTCACAATTGTTCTTCTTTCCCTAGCTTTTATATGTTATCTACTGAACATCTTTATGTTAAAATAGCTGAAATTTCTTGTAATTTTATGAAATTTTCAGCAGGTTGATGTAAAAAATTAAAACTTCAGTATCGAGTACCTTAAGCTTAGACATCCTTTTTGTAATTTTTTACTTAAGAATGAATGATAAAGTAATCTACCTTGCTCGTAAATGCTATTTTTATTAATTATTCTTAATAAATATTTGGGAATTCTAGAAACAATCCAAAGTGTCTTAATTTCCGTTTAAATTAATTTATCGGACTTCGTAATTAGGTCGACTTAAAATTGGTTGTTACTTTTGACTACTGTTTTCACATCTGTTTAATTTGCTGCTTGTTCAGCAGTAAATGATACAGATGAGAAACCACAGGCGAAATAATAATATCGTATTATAATAGTGCCACATATATGAAAGTCATAACAATAGGAACTACTTATATGAAATAATTATGTATATGTAAAATTTTATAAGTCCTATTTAAGCATAAAAAACTTATATACTAATTTTGTTCATAGAACCTTTAAACCTCTCTCTCTTCAAAAGTTGTAATTTTTGGAAACGTGGCTTTCTTACGCCAAGGTTGCCATTTCCATTTCCATGCCACTCATTGTCATATTTACATAAATAAAGTATTTATTTCAACGTCATACGTCAAAAGTGCTTTTATAAAATAAAGGTCATAAAAATAATACGAATTACATAAAACAAATGTATTTAATAATTATATAAATTTTGTATAGCTATGTAAAATTTTGTGACTCTAGAACCTTTAAAGATCTCTCCGGATAAAATGTCATTATACGGACGTGGCTTTATTACACTGAGGGTGCGCAATATGACAACATGCATAGACTTACAGTGATTAAACTAAGCTAAACAGTAATCTTTAGATCTATAAAAGTAGCACCAAAAGTGTCAAAACGTTATCAGCATGTACAATATCTCATTCTCAATAATAATAATGACCTGTTCTATTGCGTATCTGGCCTTATTACTCTTTACGCCAACAAGGGTGCGATATTATTGCCCATTCAATTGTTATGTTTTGGACATATCTCAATCAAGTCCTTGGCTATGGTTATCAACAAACGTCACCCGTATTAAAATTAGAAGAAAGAAATTGACACGGAGCATTCGTAAATAAACTACAAGTTACTTAACTTTCCATGTGTTGTATACGCCAAATACGGCCAAAACTGAATAGGCATCTTCTGGGCGAGCCCGTTCCATCGTAGACTATATCATTGCTCCAGGGCTAGGTAGTGGTCAAGAGCAAATATAAAAAGGTCACGGCGCATTTGCAAATACATAAGTAAAAAAAGCATAAAGTTACACTCCTAAATGCATAACTTCTCAACTTTTATATACTCATAGGGCACGCCCTATCTGAGAATCTATTGCGTTTACACGTACGTTTTATCTACAAACTTTGAGTAAAGATATTTAAAAATTTCAATAAAAAAAAAAAAAATTTAAAATAAAAAATTAAAATTAAAATTTAAAATTTTTATTAAATTTTTAGTTTCCATTCAATATCTCTAATAATTTATCTTGTTTGTTTAAGTAGATTTCTCCACTGCAATTGGAAGATGTGATCAAGCAACACCCAGCTGTGGCCGAGGTGTGTGTAGTGGGCATTCCCGATAAAGAGACAACGGAGACGCCCGTAGCAATCATCCAGAAGAAGAATGGCTGCCAAGTCGAGGCTAGCGAAATCTTCAAACTTGTCCGAGGTAATCACTCAATACGTAATTACATTTATCATTGTTATTAATACAAACTGCATTTACAATTATTTAAAAATTAATAGAAATTAATCTACACTCAAAAAGAAACCCAAACAGATTTGTCGTTGAAATTGTACCTAAAACTAAATTTTAGGTTACTTCACTTTTTACGAGTGTATGAAAATTAAAAGAAATTGAAATAAAAAATCTGACATTTAAATGGAAAGCAACTGAACTGCATAGGTACTTAATTAAAAAAGGATATTATAGTTTATATCTACTTAGAAGATTAAATTTTGCATGCTTTTATGTAATGGCTGAATAGAAGAACTTTAATGTAATAACTACTATCCTGTAAAAAAACCTATTCAATGCTAATGAACCTCATTTCATATCTTTACAAAAAAAGGAAAAAATTCCTTGGATTCGCCATCGCTCGGCCTAGGTCTGCGGTTCAATTATTTAAAAACGGTAGCTCGATTTAGCAAAAAGACGCTGGTTCGAGTTCAATAAAATTGAAGGAATTGTGTTCTTCGGTTTTTATACCAATAATAATACAATATAACAAACTAGTGGAGTCTTTTCACAAAAATTAAATTACCGTCATGATATTCAATAAATAAATATAGCAACTATTTTTTAGTATTTATACTATTCTATACAATTTTTTTTCAAAATAGAAGAAGGATAAACTTTATGAAAAGTCGCTGGTAGCTGTAAAAGCCGAGCGAA